TGGGGTCATCACAGCATGAGGAAATGTATTAAAGGTCACAGCATTAGGAAAACTGACAACCACTCAGATGGAGCCCCACCCTTCTGCCTCATCTAACCTTAATTCCTTGTGGAGCAGAGGGTCTCGAGATGCATTGCACATTGACACAGGGATTGTGAAGGACTCATTCCATGTGTACCCGAGCCATCTACGATAGAGTGGTTGAAATGGAGACAAGCTGCTTTCGTGTTTACTATGCTGTCTCTCATTCCCTGTCATGTATCTTAACAGGCATAATGTCAGTTATTTTTACAGCACTATTACTGTGGCTCCTGGTTGAGATTTTGAGAGCTTGTGTGAGGTGGAACTGTTCATTTGGCTGGCCTTCTGTGAAGTATGTCTGCTTCATAAGCTTTTAGCGTAATACCTTGTTGCACTCTAAAGAGATATTTCAAGCTGCAATCTAGAGAATTGCTTTTTAAAAGCCCAGGGAAGATGTTCATAGCTCTAGAGGGTGCTGTGTAGAACACAGGGATGTGCCATTCAGTGTGAGGTTTTGAAATCCATGATGTACAGGAAAATTAGGGACTCCTGCCATCTCTTTGGAGTTATAAAAATAATACAGATCCAAACCTATTCTGTGATATTTTTTATTATAAGTTTATACTTGGAAAAGTTGATTGGCCTGCAGCAAGTTTGAGACAAAGGAAGCAAAATGCTTCTTCCTGGGTCCTGCGTCTATCTGTCTGGTCATTGTTCTGAGTATCTTCCTGTTCTTAGCTGCATTGGAAGTGAGGGTTACAAAAACTGCCTCATTTGGGACTAACCAATTCTTTTTACTCACTTCCTACAAGCGGAAGTATGAGGGCCAAAGGGTCATTTTAACACTTCAGCCTGAGAGGCCTTTGTCTGTGGCAGCAGTTTTTTTGGGTATTTATTTATGTATTGTGTTTTTAGGCAGTCCTGTGTGCTAATAAACATGGCCTTGATATTTTTTCCTTTTGATTAGATGAATGTCATAGATTTACAGTCTCATTTCTGTGGCTTCTCATAGACTTCAGTGAAGTTGTCTGGGACTCAATGGCTTTTCTTAGAAAAGCCAAGTCTTTATTCAGTCCTGTCTCTGTCATGTGTCCTTCAGGCAATTTAACTTGGCAACGTTTTCCTGAGTTTAAACCCTTCACAGTCTTCCTGACATCCTCTCTTAACTGGTCTTACTCTGCAGCGAAGGCCGGCCTTCGTAGTCTAGAACTACATGCATGTTCCTGCCTCACTGTAAGGGGGTAGATTGACTCAGGAATATTAAAAAAGATTTTTTCATATATCTAAATATTAGGAGTTGTAAATTGAGTCAATAAACTAAACCTAAAATACATTTGATCTTTTCTTAACAAATTTACCTCATATAAACTGCAAAATGTTTACTCAGGGAAACGTTCCTAGAAAGAAAATGGGGTAAGCTGGTCCATGATCCTGACCCATCTGGTTATCATTTTCTGCCCTGAGCCCTGTTATATGCCATAAAGGGTATATCTTTGCGTTCTATCCCTACCCCTCCAGCACAGGCTATCCAATACTAGCTGACCCACTTCTCTTTAAAAGCATGTATCTGAAAAAGAGCATGCCACTGGAAGCTGCTGAGAGGTAGAATCTATGTTTTACGGGCCTGACACACATGCAGCTGAGAGTGGCGGTAATCTCCCATAGATCCTGGGACTTCTGTCTTCAGTGAGATTGTGCAGCTAGAGAAGGCCTAGGAGGAAGCATGGATCCCAGGCAGAGCCATTGTTCACCCAGGCCTTGTGGCAGTTCCGAGAAAGCACAGGTGTCTTTGTGCCTAGAAAAACGAGGGTAGGAAGTGGGGTGACCTACAGGCCAGTCCCAACTTTTCCAATGCTAAGTCAGCTTTGAGCTATTGCCAGGGGAGGTAAGTGCTTTGATCACCTGCATTGACAATCTTATCTTGACAATGCAAATTCTCACAGTCACATTGTGAGAGAGAAATCAGTTTCTAAGGAACTGTAATGAATTTACATCAACTCTAAATTCTCTTCTTTTGGGGAGGTAATAAGACTGGCACTCTTACCATGTCACCATTTAATGGGAACCATTACAAAGCACAGGAAGCCTACCATCAGGAACCCAGGTGATCAAGGTCAAGTGCTTGCTCTAACAATGTGGTATCAGGAAGGGTTTTTATTTTCTTTCAGCCACGACTGAATTTTATCAAGGAGATAGAATCACCTACACCTCAGGTTATCAAGAATATTAATATATATATCCAAATAAGTAATGCAGAAATATGGGTACAGAAAGGTCCTTTCTCAAATGAAAATTAGTGATATTCTAAGGAGTAAGTCTGTTTTTTCTTCAGGGAGGATGACCTAAGAAAGGAAAGAAGTGTAGGGTACTTGAAGGCTTCACCTAGTCTGATGTTCTAAGGAAGTTCTTTGAGATGACCGTGGGCTCTGGATAATCTCCAAAGATTTATCTTCACTCTCAACCTTATAATCTCTTAAGCATCAATCTCCTGAATTTTAAAATGAGAATAAGATTTTCTTAATGGCGTTAATAAGGACCCTTTGACAATGTGTTTCAAAGAAGGGCCAAGTTGGGAAGTTGGGAAGTGAGTTGGAAGCAAGACAATGATGATTTTCCAGAAGTTTCTCTGAGAAAGGGTAGACGTTGAGTCAGAGCTGGAGGGTACCATTAGATCAAGAAGTATTTGTTTTTTAAGAAGGGATATACCAGGGTATGTTGTAGTGGGGACATGTGTCTTAGTGGAAAGGGGAGGAGTGATAACAGAGAAAATTTTAGATGGAGAGATAAGGACTGTCTTCTGGTTCTAGGAAGATGTCTCCTTGCGGCTGGAGGGAGTTCTGTGTATTTAGAGTTGGAAGGGTGAGATCCAGTAGCTTTTGTTTTCTCAGTGAACCTTGAGGCAAGGGTGTTGGTGGACATGTGTACAAGCATTGGCAGTAGGAAGGGCAGCTGGAAGAGAGGAAATATATGTGAAATGACCACAGTATGGGGAGGCATTATGAAGCTTGACAGTCTCTGGACTCTGTGAGTGCAAGTTGTTAGAGTTACAGTGTTTAGTATGTATACATATTCCCACAGTGAAGAAAGTGTGTTTGAGGTACTAAGAGAAACTATAAAGCTTAGTTAAAATACTAATAATGGGCTCCATAAATGGAATAAAACATAAGCATTTTAAAACTATTGATAGATTATGTGGCTTCAGGTGGAAGCAAAACTCATCACACTCCCTTGTTTTTATTTATAACTTATATGCACACCAGCCTGTGCTGGTGATGAGTCTGTCTTCCTTGGCCACCTACTGTCCCTAGACCATTAAGGGGACATTTGTAAGCAAAGCATACCCTGAACATCTGAAACAGATATCAGTGGCTTATTGAGCAGGTGCCTCTTAAGTATTCTCGAATTGGCCAGCCTGCCACAGCTATGCATAAATGTGTTGTTTGGTTTTGCAAGAGAAAATAGCTACTAATCTTCAGTAATCATGTTATATCATTAAGCTAATAAACCTATGGAAATTTTGTCCTGGTAAGTATTCTGCTGAATTATTATCATTATCTGGACATTACCTTTAGGCTTTTAGATATATCTATTGGATAAAGAGCCTAATTTTGCAGCTTTTTATCTGTGACTGAAAATTTCCCTCCTCATCATCACCTTTGTTAGTTGAATGAGCTTTTTCAAGGGTCGGCGTGGACGTGTGTATGCATCTGCCTGGCATCATCAGGAGAGCAATTCAAGGGCTGCTTAAGGGTGTGTTGTTCTAATAGAGGTCTCCCTGTGTGCTCAGCTCATTGCTTTTTGTTTTGTTTTGACCATTTTCTATCATTTTGTGTTTGAATAAAGAACAATTTTCATTTTGTAAATTACTGTTTGGGTCTGGTTAATGTGATGCATACACTTAGAGACTGGAACACAGAATTGAGAATTCCAGCCCAGTTTGGGTTATATAATACAAGCTTGTCTCACAAACTGACAGAACACTAATTTCATTGTTTGGGGGCGTTTTTCCTCGTCAGTTGCTCTATATTAAGGTGAAATCTTGCAGTAATTGGAGGTTTTATGATGACAGAGCAACATATCTTGATGTCATTATTATTGATTTTCTTGTAGGACAGGTGAGCCTGGATGCAATGATCTGGTCCCAAACACCCCATGTGTAAATTACATATAACTTCTTAGTTATATGTAATTTAATATGTAACTTCTTAAATTACATATAACTTCTTAAATTACATTCAACTTCTTAGTTTCTTAGTTTTCTCCCGGGTCACTCAGGGGTGATACTAGTTTCTGAATATTAAATGAAGTAATATGTAAAACACTTATATCGTACAATGGCAAATATCCAAAGGTTTCTTATTAGAGATATGTTGAAAATATGGAATGAGAGTTCAGAGAACATGTCCACTTTAACTGCTCAGGTTATGAAATAAGTGTTTTGTCCTGCAATACCAATGAGAAGAAAGAAAACATGTTTTCTGAATTAAAGCTTATTCCAACGCATAAAAAGAGATCTTTTAAGTCATGATTTGATGTACAACTTGGTAGTAGTTGCTTAAGTATGGGGGTATTTATTTATTTTTTCTTAATAAGTGGATAGATGTTTAATGCTGAAATAGGTATTAGCTTGATGGTACTTATGGCTGTGGCTGTGGAAGAATGTGGGAGCCCCTTGTGGTGGGGTCCTGCTCTGTGTCTTGACTTCGGTGGTGATGTGAGCCTGTGTGTCTGGCAAAGTTTTACAGAAGTAAATGTACATATACAACAAAACTGGAGAAATCTCAAAAGACTCTGAATTGAGTTAACAGAATTTAGGTTGTAACGTTATATGTAATTTTGTGAAACCTTGATGCTGGGGGAACTAAGTCAAGGCTGTCATAAAAACTGAACTCAAATCTTCAATGGTCTCAAAACTACCATTAACCAGTGTACACTCAACTGTTGTGTGATACTCACAGACACTTTTTGTTTGCTTTCAGATTGTTCCTGCCTGATTTGTGCACCCTGTCATTGGATTTTGTAAGTTGCTATTTCTTTTTTTTTTCCCTTCCATTTAAAAAAGAAAAATCCCCTCTCCAGCATTAAGCCTTCTATCATCACAAGGGAATATGTTTGTAAATGTCTTGGGCAAAATATTCTCATGATTTTGTCTACAGATTGGTACTTTAAGATCTTTTTCACTTTATCCCCCAATGCTAGTAGAGGAGCTTTGGTGCCTACTCCCACTTTGGGCTTAGAAGCATGTGTTTCTTGAGTGACTCCTTTCCAGCATGATTATAGGTAAGAGCCACATGTTTTAGTATGGATCTAGACTGTTGTCCATTATTATCTCTACCCAAATCATTCTTGTGCCATTTTTGATTTTGATACAGAAGACTTTAATATTGTAAATGAATGTTAAAAATGATATCAAATAACTATTGTTGCCTGGGGCACCTTTATTTTTAATCTGTTAACAATAGAAGAAGCTGATATAAACTGCCAGAATAAGTTTGTATCTTCTGGAACTTGTTAAGTCAGTATCTTGACTTTTGTTTTAGAAATGCTGTCTCACCTAACTGGGGGCTATCAGCAGATAGACACATGAATACAGTCTTCTCTGTCTTCCTTTCTGTTCTTGACATCCAGCTGGCAGCAGTTGCTGTCAGCTCCTCTTTCTGCATGTACGAGAGCACTTCTCCCTTCACTTGCTACCACAGCAGTGCAGGCTTTCATGATCTGCCCATTGTCATGGCTCCCAGGATCACCTGATTTGGCTCGGTACTTTTTATACTCCTCTTTCTCTAAATGGCAACCTTGTAAGTTACTTAAAAGTCTGATCATGTTAATTTTTGACCAGGATCTATGGTGCCTCCCTAGCTCACTTACAGAGGCTTATCAGTGCCTACACAATAGGCCCCCCTTATACCTCTTGACTAATCTTTTCCTGTTCCACACACACACTGCTTCAGCTGTCCCATTTTGTTATTTTTATTTCAGGTTTTACAGTTGTTCCCACAAATAGCTGTACTACTGGTTCCTTAACAAGCTTCAGATCTTCCTTAAAATTGACATTTTCTCACACAGGCTTTCTTGACAAGCCATTTAAAAATTGCCACTGTTTCCCTTACCTTCCTAACATTCCTACTGTTTTCCTAATCAACATCTGATATATATTTTGTCTTCTTTTCAGCTCAAAGGCTAGCTCTAGAAGGGCATGAATTTTTGTCTTGTTCACACTTGTTAACAACTAGTCAACAAGTACTGTTACAATAAAAAATAAGCTTTATTATAAAGTGATTCCCATATTTATAGTCTAGATGGGTGATAGATAGATACATAAATAGATGATAGATAGATAGATAGATAGATAGATAGATAGATAGATAGATAGATAGACGATAGATAATGAAATTGGGAGAGTGGGATATGAAGAAGGGTTATTAAGAGGAATAACATGATCGCTTATTAAGTATAGTTAGGGAGAGAGGACTTAAGTGGATAATTATATCCATAGTACACAGTAGCAGGGTATAACGGGAACAGTGTGAGGTCTAGAGACCAAATGCTTGAAGTTTCCATCCTGCTACTGTATGACTTTGGCAAAACCCATTTCCTCAGCTCTGAAAAGCAGATTCATAATGTGTCAGTCGGTTGTGAGGAAGATCGAGTTGTAAAGTTTCAGTTCTTTGCAAATGCTTCTGAAAGAGGCAAGTGAAGCGATGAGTGTATTTAACCCTTGCCACAGGCTTTCTTTAAGTAGTAAATTTCATGAGGACTTTTGAAAAATAATTTGATTTAGAGGAACTTAATGAGTTTCCAGAGAACCTCTATTGAGTCAGAGTGACCTGTAATTATGTTCATAAGACTAGCTTCCCTTAAGAAGCGAGTTTTTGAGGCATGCTAATTTCACAGTACCTTGTAAAGAAATTCTTGACAGATATTTCTGTCTTCATTTCATAAGACCAGGAAGATGGAGACATTTAGTGTAACCCTTAACTTAAAGTGAGTCAGTGGCTAGATTTAGCTTAACATTCTTGATGAACAGTCACCTGTCTTCGTCACAAGCCACCTTTCATTCCTCTGGGGACTTTATACTTTTCTCTCTTTCCCCTTTTGTCTCTTTTTTTTCTTCTTTAGTTTCCTCAGACAGGGTCTCTTTATAGAGCCTAGGTTGGCCTTGAACTCCTGACCCAGTATGTTCAGCGACTGAGTGCCATGCTGAGATTGCAGGCCTTTGCTGTCATAGTTTGCTGCCTTGGCTTTTTTTTTTTTTTTTTTTATCTCATTTCTGTCTAACCTAGAAAATAAGTGGAAGCCTTTCACAGAGGGCTGTTCAGTACCCTCTGTGTTACCTCTTCAGTATTAAAGATAGAAGCAGTGAATTGCAGGCCCAGGAACTCAGTGGGGAGCCCAGGACAGGACTGAAGCTTGGAAGTGGGCAGCTGGGTGCTGTGTCAAGAAGTTGGGTTTTCCACACCTTTCGTTCCAGTCTTGTGTATTTTCTTTTAGTTTAGGAATTTTGAAAGGAACCCCATCTCTTCTCGTGTTTACTCAGGATGAGTGACAGACATGGAGTGAGCCACAATGAAATGAACACATTTCATTCCAGGGTTTTGTAAAGGTTGCGTCAAAGGAGCAGTTCTGAATTCAAGGGCAAATTTAGAAATCCTTTTAATTTTGTTTGTTCAATAGAAGTAACCCCTTGGGAAAACACAGTTTCTTTCAGGCTCCCTTTGGTTCACTCTGCCCCTGGCTAGCCCTCTTTACTCTTTGCACAAACAGCCTTCACACACAGCTGGCTATTTAGGACCTGGTTACCTAGCTAGATTCCCTAGATCAAAGAAAGGGAAAAAAAGGTAACTGTCCCACCTGTTTCCATTTCTGTTTTGCAAACAGGATTTATATAAACCAAATTCCTCTCTGAGCTGTGTGGCCTTCCCTGGGGATCATGCTTTTGGGAAAGCCTAGAAATTAGAAATTACAGTTTTCAGTCAGAGTGACCTCGAGTTTGTTGGCTGTAACAGCTTCGCTGTTAACACAGGAATGGATTGATAAGGGCTGCTTGTCACCAAAGCTGTCCCCCGCATTCTCACAACTGTTCGGTTAGGAATAAAGTTTCCAGACAGTTTGGGTTCAGTGGCATGAAAGACATCTCAGACCGTCAAGTGGACCATCCCTCCTAGAGATACAGGGCAGGGGAAGAAGAGTGGAGTGAGGGAGAAGTTTATTTATGGAATGTCAGCCATTGAGGCTCAGCAGGCCCTCGAAGCCCAGGGCTTCCCTCAGAGCCTGTTTTCTCCCTCTGACCTTGGATGAACTAGTGAGCAGTATATTATGCCAGACGATTGTGTAGGTTTGTCATGGTTAGCTTTCTGGACTGTCACTGGAATGTAGGAAATGGATGAATTTGAATTGAACCATGAGGTGGTCTGTCGGGCCCTCTCCTGGTCTCAAGAAGACCTGTCGCAGTTTGTCTGGGCTGGGCCTAATGAAAGCTTTGGACTGAGAGAGAGGTGGGCCTTTGATCTCTTTGTTCCAGCTGCTCCCTGGGAACTGGCTGAAATCAATGCCCTGTTTTCCTGAAGGAATGAATGGCTCTGCCTAACTAGCTTTGTAAAGCGGTGGGGAATTCACTGCCTCTGTTTATTGACAGCTGAAAGGGAGCACACGGGGTAGAATGGACCTTCTTGTGAAAACCAGGCACAGGGAAAATTAGACCTCAATTTAACACAGAGGAATTTGAAAATTCACCCCAAAGGAGCTTGGAGTTTCTCATGCTTACATTAGAATGACTCAAGTTTGGGGCTAGTGTGCAATGAACAATGAGGGTTTTGTCACAACTATGCTATAAGTAGGAATATGGTATGCATAATGAATGATGGTAAGTAGAACTCTATTCAACACTCCCTTCTCTTTTTAAGACACAGACATAAAGACAAATGTGGACCATGATATAATCAGGTGATGCCTTTTTTTTTAACTTGAAGAAGAATTAATATTATGTGTGACTTCTCCAAAGTTTGTTTTTCATTTGTTTTTTCCAAAACATCTTTGAAGTTGAGATCTAAGTACATGCCAGGGACTCATACCATCACATCTTGTGTGATTATTAAGGTAATATAATGATTACCCATCAAAAAGTTTTTTATTGTTAGAATGCTTTAAATAGAAGTATGTGTCCAAAGTAAATGAAACTGATAGTGGACCAAGACCGCTCCTGGAATAACGATAGTTTATAGATCTTAAGATTACTACCTTCCTTTTCAGAACATAGTAAACTGTAGTTTATCGTGAGGAGCCATCCGCCCTTTCTTAGCTGTCCCCCCTTCACTCTCTCGATTTCCCAGAAAGAATTTATGGCTTTTTCCTTTGGCCCCAGCCCTTTGTGCATACTTTGGCCATAGCACTTAACACAGCCCCATAGGTCTTTGTTTAGGTGTATTCTTTAAGCTGGAAGTAAAGCAGCTGTGTCGTATTCATTTTTATATCTTCCAGCCTGGCAGAGCTCTTGGCTCAGTAACTGTGGCTGAATGAATGGGGGTTGATGGCTCCCTGTGCATTCCTGTGAATGTAATTACTTAACTAGGCTTCAACTGCAAATCCTAAATTTTGGGAAAACCCGATTGGTCTGTTGTACCTGGTCAGTGAGTGTTGCTTTTTAAAAATCTTTCCTTTATGGAGCATTAGCAAACACTGTTTTTTTTTTTTTCCTTCATAATTTTCTGGCACTCCATGAGCCCCTTTAAGAGGAGACATTAAAAACATAGGGATTTGTCTCTTTTGGGTCCAGCCTCTGTTTTCATTGCTAAAAAGATTCTTGGTGTCATGTATAGATATTTTCGTTAAGAAGATGAAAAGGCTTTTAATTAATAGTGCCGCAGACTTTTATCTGACTAACTTTAGCTTGCATTTGAGATGATTTAATTCTATGATATGTTGATAATATAGAATAAAACCTCCCCTGACAGTGTGTTTAATTCATTTTTCTGCCATTGTAGGTTATGAATCTTTTGTTAAAGGAAGCAAATAAACACCCC